AGGAAATGTTTTGCGAATGATGAGGGCAATGAATGTACAAATGCGCTTTACACAATTGATGTGTGTATGGATTGTGATAAGAGTTGTATGAGCCCTAATAAAATGATTTTTTTAAAAACATGTTAATAAAGACCCTGAGATAATCAAAGGAAAGTCAGAGCTGGTAATGGCTGGAAAGGAAATTTCCACAGTATAATAGAAGGAATGAAATGGAATAAAAAAAAACAGTAAGGGAAATCATAAAGAATACGTAAGAAGGCTAAGTAACTCAAAGGGGAGCCACAGACCTTTTAAGTACAGGAATATGAAATATTTAGTTCTATTGCTGGGATGTAAAAACCTACAATAAATTTTCCTATATATACAAATGTCTTTGAGGCTTCCCCCCCTCCCATGGGAATCAAGGAAGCATCGATAGAATTTAGATGAAGATTTTTCTGGATTAGAAACTGGCAGATTACTCAGAACTAACCAGGGAAAACCTTACATCCTCTCCATCCATCACCATGTCAGAATTTCTACAGAGAATGAGCTAACCAAGAGCAATATCAGCATTCCTCATGTTGGCAAGACAATTTTACTAGGTTCCCAAAGAACTGGCGTCCTCAGTAGACATCTGTGTTATATCTAAACAGTACTTTTCTTTGAATGTAGTTATAGCCTGTTGCCAAGCTTTGGCAAACCATGTTGCTTTTTAACCATTATCATCCAACCTGGGGAGGCTAGAACTAAATGCTGCTATTATAACCCTTCCCTCATCTCTTCGGCCTGCTCAGCTGGGGACATGGTAAGTGGGCTATTGTGGCCTGGCCACCAGTGCGATATAGCTGGGCTGTGTTTCCGTGAGTCATGTCCGTGAAGAGCAGGACAGTACAAGCTCCTGAGTAAAACTCCAGCTCTGTCAGGAGAGAGAGGAGGCTTTCTACCCCCGTGAAAGTTAGTCTTGGACACCCACAGGGGCAGTTCTACTCGGTCATATAGGGGCACGCTGAGTTGGCATCAACTCAGGGCCAGTGAGTTTTTTGTTTGTTTGGTTGGTGTTTTTTTTCATTTTCTCATGTATGAAGCTTATTTACAAACATAACCAGTATGCTATTAAAGTCAACAGAGCTCGAGTCAATTTTCAGAGGTTGGAACTCTTCCAGTGCTCTTGTCATCTGCCTCACAGACGAACTTAAGCATCCTTATTTCTTAAGCGGTTGGTGTCTTACTATAAAGAAAGGTGCAGCAAATCCAGACCCAAAGAAGGCGGCCATCAGAACCCGGAACCGCCACTTGTTTTCCACAGAAAATGGCAAATTCTTCCCAGGGCCCTCCTCATTGTGGCTGCTTTGGGCCACAGAGGTGGTGAACCTCCGGAGGCTTTGCCCCCACATGGAGGCTCCGTGAAACTCGCAGAGAGTGACCACAGAAGAAATGGC